GGCCATTCATATCTCCTTCTTACAACTTCGAGCTGGTTACAGAGACTTCTAGCTTCTCCCGAGCTCAGTATGTGCAGGGAACATAAACCAAAACAAGCATGCAAGCAGACACATTTCCCCCTATGTTGCCTCCCACTCTGTCAAGTTATTGCCCGGCTACCTCGCCTGCTCTTCGCCAACCTCGTGCGCCCCACCTGTCGCTTCCCAACCCCAACCGCCAGGCTTATCCCCTCCGCCCTCGCTCCTTTTTTGCTACTCCATGTAGCACCTCGCTTATGTACAAATGTACAAGTTCCTCCATGCTACACTCCACCACCCTCTCTCATATAACTCTGGTTTACACCATAGTTTTCTGACATCCCCTTTTCTTCTCTGCTCGTTCTCTTTGGTGCATAGCAAGGCCGCTCATCAAGGTCGATGAGCAAGAAGGTTGACCAGCAAAGGTCCTGCGCAGCCATGGCACCGGCGTAGATCTCGTCCTCATCGCTAGATTGCGCCACAGACGACCACGGAGTAGACCTCCACAAAATCGCTCCAGAGCCCAAGCTGAAGCAATACCCCTGTATAGACCTGGTGGTCTCCACGTCGCCGGTGTAGGAAGTGTCAAAGTGACCGGTCAGTACAACTGCCTCTCTCCCTCTAAACATAATGCCCATGCCTGATGTAGTCGCCAGGTACTTCGCTACCCTCACAGCCGTTACCTAGTGAACAGGATGGTGTCTCCCAGTCGCAACAAAGAGAGCCATGACATAGAGAGGAAAACCGAGGTCCGGATGAGTACAAGCCATCAGATACATGAGGCAGCCCACAAGCTCTGCGTAGGGACCACTCGACTCAAAGGGCTCGTCAGGAAGAGGAGCGGTAAGTCTGTGGTCAACGGCAAGAGGAGTGGGTTGTGTGGTAGAGAACTGAAGCCCGAATCCCTAAAGGACCTGCTACACCATGTTCGACTATGTCAGTGTGATGGTGCGTGCGGCCCTGTCTTTGGTGATCCGCAATCCAAAGTAGCGTCGTGGTTCACCAAGGTCAATGCATGTTTATCTCTTCCGCAGTTCAGAATTCACCTCAGCTAGAACAGCCATGTCTGTTGTAGGGAACACCAAGTTGTCAAAGTAAAGGAGGATGAAGAAAGGACTAGAGCCAGAGCAAACGAACAGCGACAATTCGGCGGGCGAAGGTCTGAAACCGAGGTGAGCAAGTGTGGAGCGAAAAATGTCGTGCCACTCATGGGACGTCTGGCGGAGACTTTAGAATCCTCTTCTCAGGCTCCACTGGGTCCCAAGAGGGAGAATGCCAGTGAAGCCATGAAGACGGCGCAGCCAGATGTCCTCGTGCAAGCGGCTCTGGAGAACGGCAGTGGAGAAGTCCAGTGTGTGCAGCTCGTGGTCTTGCTGTGCTGCAACGTGAAGGAACACCCGAAGAGTAGTCATCTTCGGGGTCGAAGAGAAGGTCTGGAAGAAGTTTACTCCTTCATGCTGAATGAAAACTCTAGTCACGTAGCGCGCCTTCAAGACAGGTGGCGATCCATTCGACCGCTTGACCTGGAAGATTCACATGCCATTGACTATGTTCGTTGTGGGAGGGGAAGCTGAGTCGGCGTAAGTGTCAGTGGATCTCAACGATGCCATCTCTGAGCCCATGGCAGATATCCACTGAGAGGCCCACTGTCCCGACACTACCTCACAATACGTGCAAGGAGTCCGTATGTCAAGGGCGTCGAGGTTTCCCAGAGGGGCTAGCAGCATGGCACAGAGATGGGGAGAAGCAACCGCCAAAAACTCTAGCTCAAACTGCCTCTCCTCAAGGACGCCACAACCAAGGGCAAAATCTTCCCCGGCAGACGGAGGACAGGCTGGCACAACACGGGTGGCGTAGTGTCCGTGACAAATAGAGGCAAGAATACGTGAGATAACCAGACGAGCATTACAATTGTAGTCAGTGATAGTGTGAAAAGAGGATGTAAGAGACGACGCAGGCGGTGACGGAAGAATAGACTAAGGCGGAGATCGAGGAGGACTAAAACAAAGTAAAGAAGAGTGGAGGTCGTTAAGAGGAGACAGGGCACAAGCGTTAGGGTGACATCGAGTGGTCCAGGGATGCGAGGCGGCTGTAACCTGGGAGGGGAGAAAACAGTCGGGGACGAGTTCGTTGGAGGTAGACCATGTGCAGTAGGAGGCGATGAGTGGTTCGGAGGGGAGGAAGGGAGAACAAGGGCCCGGAGGCAACTTACAGGTGGGAACAAGTGTTGCAAAAGGGACGGCTGTGGCGTCTGCTGCTGCATTTGCTGCTCCAGCTCCAGCCTCTCCTGCACCAACCACTCTTGTTCCTTACGCTCAAGCCGACGAAGAACCTGGTGACGCGTCGGGTAGCGATGGAGAGGCAGAGTAGGCGCCGCAGTAGCAATGCCTCCAGCTCCAACCCTTTAGATTTAGGACCCCCTGTGCCAATGCCTACAACTCTAGCACCCCCAGAGGTAGCACCTCCAGTGCGAGCACCTCCAGCTTCAGAACCCCTAGAACTAGCACCTCCACTACGTGTACTCCTAGCTCTAGCGCCCACAAAAGTAGCACCTCCAATGCTTGCACCTCCAGCTCCAGCACCCCTAGAACGAGGAACTCCAGTGTCAGTACCTCCAGCAGCAGCACCCCTAGAACTAGCACCTCCAGTGTCAATACGCCCAGCTCCAACACCCCTTGAACCAGCACCTCCAGCGCCCGTGCCTCTAGCACCAACACCCCCAAAGTCCACTGCAACCTGTCGCAGTAGTGCCGAAGGCTGCTGCAGTGGCTGTGCGGCCGGCTGTGGGAAGGAGACGAAGCCTGACGTGCTACCGAGGGGAGAGGGGTAGTGTGAGTCACACCTGACGAGGCAGGACCTGGATGAGGGAGGTGTGCGAGAGGAGCAAGACCAGGAGGAGTGGGAGCTAGAAAGAGGGGAGGGGGCGAAACTGGGAGACCTCGGTGTGGGGAGGGGGAGTAGTACGACACTGACTTGCCAAAGCGGACGTAACGGGGCAAAACTCAAATTCAGGGGCGTCCACCAGGAAATCAAGGAAGACACAGGGAAGGGAGCGAGCCGAGAGTTAATCCGTAGAAATATCGTAGACATGCACAAGGCAGCCCCATACACAAAACTCCGACGCAACACCAGGGGACATGGTCCAAAAACTGTTTGGTGAAGCCTCTGGCTATGAGACATGAGGCCAGAGGTTCAGCTGGTGGTGGGAGTACCGAACCGCGTAGGGCCACAGAAAATAGGGCGCACTTGCATTGACCATGGAGGTGCGGGCGATCTTCATCACCAAGCCTATGCTAGCTCAGCAACCTCATTCTGCTGTGAGGACTCCAGAAGTGTCTAGGACTAAGTGACACCCTGCTCGGCATGCACAACGGAGCGAAACTCATCCCCACGGTCGGAGTGGAGACAAAGGGCACAACTACCGCGCGTAGCACTAATGGCAAGCAACCACGAGACCAGGGTAGAAGTCACATCGGACTTCTTCCACAAAGGGAACACGTTGGTGTAGCAAGATAGATCGTCAACGACCACCAGGAAGAAGCTCTCCCCCTTGGGCCCAGGGCAAGAGGCGGGGCCCCGGACGTCCAAGTGGAGAGTCTGGAAGGGCGCGGTGGCTGGGCGAAGGGAGGAGAAGCGAGGGGTGGTGCTCAGCCTACTCTCGACGCAAGGAGTGCACAGCGGCGCCGGCGAAGGTGGGAGCGACGCAAACACGAGCGGTAGACTGAGATAGGACGCTGGCAAGACATGTCACGAAGGTGTGGGAGGGATGGGTGACCAAGACAGTGGTGCCACAGGACTGTCGAGTGGGTGAGTGACCGACAGGAGCACGACACAGCAACCTGACCAGACGCAACTACCTGACCAGACGCAACTACCTGACCAGACGCAACTACATGGGGAGACACGGTGTGTAGTATGAAGAGACCTGAGCAGGGCTCGCGACGAAACGGGGCCTCAGTTGTTCGAGTAGCACCATCCGTGCAGGTCGCAACACGCTCGTATAGAGGAAACCAGGTGCCGACGTCGAGGTCCTGAATGGGTCCAACCAACACCCACCAAGTTCCTGGAGAACGAGGGGATGTGGAGACCAGTGAGGACACCAGAGGGGACAGCCGGGCACGGAGGGTGGTGGAGCTGCGGGCAACTGCTGGTCCTGAAGTAGGGTCAGCCAATGCAACCGGAACTGGAGCAGGAAGCATTGTGACAGTTATGTGGTCGCGGAAAAAGCACTCTGTTCAGGAGCGGTCAAGAGGCCATGTACCCCGTTCATAATAAATCTCGCTAACGAACCATCAGCGTGACCTAAAATATTACCCTTACGAATTAGGGAAAACCTTGATTCCAAAACTCTACCCATAGCCATCAGTGTGACCTTCAGATTTTACCTTGACATCAGTTTATCAGGGTAATTTACACTTAAAGAACAAGGCCTGACCTAGACCCTATAGACTACTAGTAACGAGGATTACACAAAAGAAGCTAACAATGTTTATCATGTCTGTATCTCCAAGACACATCACAGGTGTCACACATAATAAATTGTTACTTCATTTCCACAACCCACAAGATAGAAATATATAGACGACACTTCGAGCAATACACCACAGCATGCTCAAAACCCTTGGCACAGGCGCACGCAGTGAGCAGCAAGGAGCGAACAGCAAGCTGCAACTGGTGCATTGACCACTATGAAGCCAGGCCCTTGGCTTTATCTCATCGTCCCGGACAGCACTTACTGAAGTTCCAGCAGATATTCAGCACACACCAGCACACGACTTGCGAGACGCCTCAATCAGCGAGCACACTAGGAAGCCAGCCCCTTGGTGGGTGTTTCATCATCCCTTGCAGCAAGAGCGATGTTGGAGATCCAGCACACTCCAGTGGACCCGGAACTCGTCAGCAGCTCCCACTCCCCCACCTCCATCCCTCCCCCCCTCCTCGCCTCCCCTCTCCCTCTCCCTCCTAACCCCTCCTGCCCGCTCTCACTCCCCACCTCCTCTCCCTCCTCCCCCGCCCCCCCTCTCCTCCCCCTCCTCATCCCCTTCAGCCACCTCGGAGAGCGAAGGCCCCACGTCAATGCTGCTGTTTACTGTGTCCTTATCGTCGTCCTCACTCTCGTGCGTGCTTATATCAGAAGCCGTCGACCCCCCTACAATCACCACACTGTCACTCAACGCCCCCTGCTTTCCCCCACTCCTGCCGTCCGAACCGTCCCCACCTTCCTCCCCTTCCACCTCCTCTTCCCCCTCTTCCACCACACCACCCAGCCCACCTCGTCTGCTAATCTGTAGCCCTGCTACAGCCGCTACAGCCGCCGCCGCCACAGCAGCAGCCTCGGTCTCCGAACCTGCTGCTACTACAGCTGCGGCAAAACTGGCTGACACAGTTTGTCTGGATCCCCCCACCCCTGCCTCCTCACCATCAAGACTCTCAGGCTCGTTCGCAGGAGTGGGGGGCGGGGGCGGGGGCGGGGGCAGTGGCGGCAGGGAGGCATGGTGGTGCGAGTGGTGAGAATCATGGTGGAGGCGGCTGGGATGGGTGTAGAGCGGTGCAGCACGGCGCTGCGACCAGGAGTAGCCGCAGAAATCGACAGCGACGACGGTGACGGGCGCTAAGCGTTCCACGCTGGCCGCTACGGCGTCGCCATGTGTCACGCAGAGGATGTTGTCGCTGGGGAAGAGCGCTGCCACGTCATCAAAGGCCTGCATGAAACGCTCCCGTGCACTCTCGAGCGATTCCGGGAAGATGGGGAACTGGTAGTGGGCGAGGGGATGAGGGGATGGGAAAAAAAGGGAGGGATAATGGGCAAGCATGAAGCAATCGCGTGCACTCTCGAGGGACATGAGGAAGAGAGTGTACAGGCGGAAGGGAAGGAAATGGTAATTATGCGAGCATGCATGTGCGAATGCATTTGCGTGCAAATGGTGTGCTTGTGTGCACACAAGACACCAGGTGTACAGCGGTGTGGGCAAGCACTCGCATCTGGAGGGCATTCCGGAGAGCATCGGCGCGCTGAAGGAGTTTCGCCGCCTGCACCTGCTCAACATCTCGTGCGCGCTGCCCAACGTGGGGGAGGAGTGGCGCAAGCTGGAGGAGGTGCACCTGGAGGAAGTCAGCGCAGACGCCCTGCCCATCTCCCTTGCGTCTCTCGCGCACCTCACCTTCCGCTGGTGCTGCTTCCTCCGCGCCCTCCCCAACGACATCGACACGGCGCCAGCCCTTCGCGAGCTCGAGATCGTCGAGGTGCCTTTCACCTCGCTGCCGCGTCGATCTGGAAGCTAACGTCACTAGAGCGGCTGGTGCTGGCGCCGTACGGGTCGTTGAGGGCGCTTCCAGCTGCGCCCCGAGTTGCATACAGCAGTGCTGGCGGCAGCGCCCTTAACGACCCGTACGGCGCCAGCACCAGCCGTTCCAGTGACGTCAGCATCCAGATCGACGCGGCAGCGAGATGAGAGGCGCATCGACGATTTCGAGCTCGCGAAGGGCTGACGACGTGTCGATGTCATCGGGGAGGGCACGGAGGAAGCGGTACCGGTGGATGGTGAGGAGCGCGAGAGACACGAGGGAGATGGGCAGAAGGTGGTCCGCGCTGACTTCCTCCAGGTGCACCTCCTCCAGCTTGCGCCACTCCTCCCCCACGTTGGGCAGCGCGCACGAGATGTTGAGCAGGTGCAGGCGGCTCAACTCCTTCAGCGCGCCGATGCTCTCCGGAATGCCCTCCAGGCTGTACCACCCGTAGAATGGGTAAGATGGTGGGCAACCATGCAAGGCTATGCATGGCATGCACAGTGGTGTGCGTGTGCCAGCTCACCTCAGAATGCACACTCCTGCCTGCCCTCCCCTCTCCAGGGGCAGCAGTAGCGCCACCAGCACTAGAGAACGCAGGGAGCGGCAAGAAGGTGGTGCCGGGGGGAAAGAGCGCCTTCAGGTCGCCCTCCCCCAGAACCCAACCCTTGCTGCGCGCCTCTGCTGCTGCTGCCTCCACTGCTGCCGCCAGCCCTGCATGCTCCGCCACGCTGCTGTGTGGGATGGACGCCGCTGGTGGGCGCTCCTCCGTGCAGCGCCTCAGGGCTCGTGTGTTCATCACCTCAGCCAGGGCGGGGGTGAATGACACCTGTGGGCGGAAGCGGGGGAAAAGGGGCGGCGGGGTTGGCGGAAGAAGGAAAGGAGAAAGGCATGAGTAGGGGCCCAGGGAGGAAAAAGCGGAAACACGAGTGAGGGCTCGGCAAGAATAGGGGAGCTGGGACGGAGGACGGGGAGTGGTGAGAGTTGGGGAGCTAGGGGACAGAGAGGAGAACGAGGAGGAGCAGCGAGAGACGGGATAGAGAGGGATGCGAGGAGAGAGGGATGGGATGACAGAGAAGGGAACGAGGGGGAAGGGAGGACAGAGAAGGGAAAGAGAGAGATGAGGTGACGGGGGATGGAGAGGAGGAGCAGAGGGGGGGAGGGGGGGTGTACGGGGACGGGGGAAGGAATGCAGGAGGGAGATGGTTAGGCGCCTCACCGTGACAGTGACACCCGAAAGCGAAGCTTCCAATTGGGCCTGTCCCTCCGCCCTTTGCAATCCCTCCGACGCCACCGCCCCCTCGCCTGCGCTGCCCGCCTCCCCCTTTTCCCCCTCCGCCCCTACCCCCGTGCGTGAGCTCAGCAGCCCCGCCACTAGGTGAACGGCCGTCTGCACGCAGCGGCGAAACGGCGACACCACCACGCGCATCACAGCGCCCTCTTTCTTGCCCTCCCTTTCGTTCTCCCCCTCCCCTTCCTGCTGCCCTTCCGCCGGTGCTTTCCCCTCGTCGACCGCCTTCCCCCCGCCACCCCTCGCCGCGCCAAAGCCCCGCGCCCTGAGTGCCTGCCCGACCTCCTCCGCCGCCTTGGCGCCTCGCGCGGACAGCGGCGGGTCCCAGGGTCGGTCCGAGCCTGCTGCCCAGCCGTCGTCCTGCTCGTCAATAGGCTCGGCGTGCCGAACCACGACGAGCGTCTGAACGGTGGGCGCAGCAGGGTAGGTTGCGCCTGCCCCGCCGAACCTGCTCCCCCCTGCTTCCCGCTCCGCCAGGCCCGCCGACTGCCCCCCTGATGGCTTTTCCCCGGGGCTGGAAAACAGCGCCTTGCTCGTTATACCGAGTCTGCTTGTAACGAGGCCTGTTCCCGCTAAGTCCGCCACAGGCTGATCAGAGGTGAAGGAAGGCGCGGGCGACATGTGGTAGGGCGGGATAGACGAGCACGTGGAGAATTGATCCAGCGACATTATGCTTCCCGTCGGGCTGCCGAGCGTGGCCGCCACGCTGCTGTCTTGGCTCGTCGTCCGAACCAGGTGGCCCGGCGGGAAGTCTACCCGAACCTGCGGTAGGGTGGGTAAGAAGAGTCCGTCCTGAGGAACGGAGCCGGGGGTGAAAGCGCCGAACGTGCTTCCCATGCTGCTTAAAACGGGGATGTCTGCTTCGGGGATGGAATGCGCGGCAGATTTGAGACCCCCGCACGGGAAAATGGGATGGCGGATCCCTACATCCCCGGGCTTTGCCGCTGCTTCTGATTCTACCGGATCCCGCCGTTCTGAATCCAACGGCACCGTCGACGCTTGCGTGGCGAGATCGGCTCGATCGAGCGAAGCGGAAACGTCGGGGGTGTCTCCCGCGAAAGCGGCGGGACCGTCTTCCCCCGATGCGGTGGGGTTGTCTCCCGCGGGGATCAGCGCCGTGGCCGCGACCTGCTCGTCGCCTGCGACTGCTGCGACTCCTGCGGCTTCTGCGACTCCTGCGACTCCTGCGACTCCTGCGACTCCTGCGGCTCCTGCGACTCCTGCGGCTCCTGCGACTCCTGCGGCTCCTGCGACTCCTGCGGCTGCTTTGGATCCTGTTTGCGACATCGTCGCGGTGCAACGAGGTATGAGGCGTGAGGAAGGAGGTTCGACTATTCAAGCGACAACCGAATAAGCGACAGCCGGCGCAGTGATTCCAGGAGCACAGGCGATGACCGGCGATGGGAGAACGTGGTCTGACATGCGGGGTGGAGATTTCAGAGCAACGTGGAATGGCGAAGATGACCAACAGGCGGTGATGATCCCAAGAACTGGAGCAACCCTAGGGTGGAATCAGGATTCGGCAGGGGATATTTGAACTGTACTCACCATTGATGATTTCAAAATGCGAAAATGATTATGTAGTTCCTAGTCTCAAGTGATGTCGTCAAGGTCATTCTAAGGCCGCGAAACTTTTTCTGTTTCCGTCCAATGTCCGGACGAACCCCCCAAACCGTCCGAACGGAGCTCCGTCCGGACGTTTGGGACTCAGGTCCAGACAACAGCCCGTCTGGACTACGAGTTTCTGCACTAGAAAAAAAAAATGAATTTTACCTCAAATAAATACGCACATTACTGAATGTCAAATGTTGATATTTGTGATAGGCTGTAGTGAGGTGCTCCTTAGTGATTACAAACATGTTAGGTTTCCTGGTTGTACCCCAACTCCTTTCTAGTCATCATTCCGTTGTGTTTAGATTCTGAGATGGTATCCGAGTAGGTTTCGTTCCTAGCTCCCCGCCCTAGCCTAGCCTAGCGACTTCGCGCCTTAGCGCCCTCCGCGCCTTCGCGCCCTCCTAGCGCCCCTCCCCACGGTCGACCGCCCTTCCCCACTGTCGTCCGCGCCCTCCCCACCGTCGCGCGCCCTCCTCAGCGCCCCTCCTCACCGTTCAGCGCCCTCCGCGCCCCTAGCCCGTCGCCCAAGCCCGCGCCCTAGCCCGTCGCCCCAGCTCGCGCCTTAGCCTAGGCCCGCGCCCTCGCCTTAGCCCTTGCCCCCACCTTAGCCCGCGCCCTACCAACGCCCTCGCCAATGGCCGCGCCCTAACCCACACGCCACCTCTTCCTAACGTCCCAACCGCCCCTTCTCACCTAGCCTTTGCCCTGTCCCCCGAGCTACAACCGTTCGTACTGCTACTGGGTTCTCACTCCGCGGCTGGCAGCCGCTTCTCGCTCCGGTCACTAGATTTTGACCCGGGTCGCACTTAGCTCCGAGCCTCTAGCCCCTAGCCCGGTTTCCTCCTCCACTGGTGCTCCTACGACCCTTAGGTTCACCTCCGCCGTTCCTAGCCTAGCGTCCAATATGGACTCCTCCCGCCGCCTTCGTTTCGATGCGGAGGGGCGCCTGATCGAGGTCAGTACCTGGCAGCGCCAGGCCACGCGCTACCTCACCAGTCAGCGTCAGGACGGCGCCACCATGTGGGCCCACTCGTCTGGTGGCCTCAAGGCTGACAAAATCAGAAGAAAGAGAGGTTCACTAGCAAGCAGTTGGATGCAAATAGCAAACCCTAACTGGGTTGTACTCGCTATGGAGCACCCCACTGCAGGCTAGATAACATAACATTCTGACACACCCCCATAGCCAAAGTGGGGTGTAATCAGCACAGTAAGCAAAGCAGAACAAGCTCAGGGTGGATCACAATGTCACCACACATTCTGAGCACAATTACAAGAAGCAACAGTTTAAAGTTCACACTTATGAGCAAAGCTAGTGGTAGTCACAGCGGGCAAGTGAGGAGGAGGAGGGACTGTGAGAGGAGAGAAGATGGGAGACGACGGCTGAAGCTGCAGACACACGGGCTACAGGAGCGGCTGGCACAGTGGCTACCGGGACAGCGCCCCGGACTACTGGAGTAACTGGCTCACGGGCTACGACGAGCTACAGGAGCAACGGACCCACGGGCGACAGGCGCAGCAGGCTCTCTGAGCTACCAGGACAGCGCCCCGGACTACAGGTGCTGCGGACGACAAGACTGCAATCTCCGTGCAACTTCCCCAAACAGTCCCACTCCCCCGACACATACCCGCTGCTACACCCCTAGCTCCACTCCCACGCACCCCCTTTAAACCCTAAACCCCAGTCTCCCACACATCCACCCCCCTCAGCGACAGCTGCAGCAGTGGGAGACAAAGGAGGAGGAGCAAAGGGAGGAATGAGGAAGTGACACCCCCATACTCGCCACCCCCTGCTTGCCACCCCCAAACCCTAACACAAACAGGGTGGGATGGCGGGTAGGCAGGGTGGGATGGCGGCGCTCGCCCCCCTCCCCCAGGTCCCGAGGGAGCCGCGACGGGCGACGGGAAATGGGGCCGGGGCGCAAGGAGGGCGGCGGGGCCACGGGTGTAGGGCGGCGGGGCCGCGAAGGTGGGGCGGCGGGGCCGCGACAGAAGGGCGGCGGGGCCGCGAAGTGGGTGGCGGGGCCGCGTAAGGTAGGGCGGCGGGACCGCGAAGGTAGGTGGCGGGGCCGCGTAAGGTAGGCGGTGGGGCCGCGACCGTAGGTGGCGGGGCCGCGAAGGTAGGCGGCGGGGCCGCGAAGGGTCCCCGTCGCCCGTCGCGGCGCCTCCAGAAGGCGACGCGGCGAACGACGGGGCAAAAGCCCGCCGCGCGCCTCGGGGCGCACAGCGGGCAGAGAACCGCCGCGCGCCTCGGGGCGCACGGCGGGCGGAAAACCGCCGCGCGCCTCGGGGCGCACGGCGGGCAGAAAACCGCCGCGCGCCTCGGGGCGCACGGCGGGAAGAAAAACGTAGCAGCGGAAGCGAGGAGGTGGTAACCCACCCACAGGATCGATCCAAGGGGATCGACCTGCTCTGATAGCATGACAAAATCAGAAGAAAGAGAGGTTCACTAGCAATCAGTTGGATACAAATAGCAAACCCTAACTGGGTTGTACTCGCTATGGAGCACCCCACTGCAGGCTAGATAACATAACATTCTGACAAAGGCGTCCCTGTCTCCCGACCCCCTCCCAACCGACCCAGAGCCGACTCCTGCAACGCAGGTGGACTATGACCATCGTGTCTTGGCGAGGGACGTGTGGGACTCTCATGACGCTGCCACCGCTCTTGCGCTGACGGAGCTCCTCCCCCCGACTGAGGCCGCCCATTTTGACCAGGTGGAGAAAGCTCAGGGGGTTTGGGCTGCTGTGTTGCACGCTATTCCACCCCTTCCTCTGCCTCCCTCAGTTGCCTCCTCATGCCGTTCGTGTTTCCCGACCTCAACTCGTTTGCAACTGTGTCCGACCTAGTGACTCACCTCCGCTCACTTGACGCCGGTTTCCGAGCGGCCTGTAACGACGCCCAGCTTTTTGCTGCTCCCAACCCCATGTGGCTCGCAGTGCACTGGTTAGTCACCCGCCTCCCTGACTGCCTTGCCACTACTCGTGACGCGCTTCTCCAGAAGCACCCCACTGAGCTCACCAACGATCTCCTTGAGACCGCTCTCGGGACGATCGAGAGTAGCCTCCTCACCGTTGCCTCCGCCACTGACGCGGTGGTCCCCCGTCTCTGTGCGAGGTGTGCCGCCCCTCAGCTTCCCACTTTCACTGCTACCTGCGCTTCTACTGCTGTGTCGGTTTCTGAGGACACTGCTACCGTTTCCGCCGCAGACTGGCAGAAACGGGGCAAGAGTGGCAAGAAGGGCAGGAAGGGGGGAGGTGGAGGCGGTGGAGGCGGCGGTGGAGGTGGCGGTGGAGGTGGGAGCGCCGGTGGTGGAGGCGGTGGCGGCGGTGGCGGCGGTGGAGGTGCACCAGGAGGAGGGGGCCTTGGAGGAGGTGCAGGACAAACAGGCCCGCCCACTGGCGGTGGCCCAACTGGTGGGGGTGTTGGACCCTAGCAGCAGGGACCGCAGCAGCACCAGGCACCGCAACAGTTCCAGCAGTGGGGGCCCCCACTGCAGTGGGGTCCATAGCAACACTAAGGTCCCCCGCCGCAGTGGGGTCTGGGAGGACTAGGGAGCACCGGCCGCAGCGACAGCACTTCCAGTTGGGCCCCTCGCCCCCCTCGCCGTGACACTGGCCCCTGCACCCACTGGTGCCTCACCGGACCTGGCGGCCCCTGTCTCTGCGGTCGTGACGACCACTCTGCCGCACGGTGCTTTCGCTGCCTCAACGACCTCTACCGTGCTCGTTGGGGCCCTACGGCGACCACGCCTCGCTGGGCTCGCCTGTTAGCTTATAAGATTGATGTGTTTGATCTGTCCATGGAGGATGCTCGTCAGCATGCTTTGTATGCTGATGTTGACTATAGTGCTGATGGATCTGTGTGCTCGCGTGTTCGTAGATTAGCTTGCTTGCCTCCTGCTAGTGTAGACTTGTGCCTTTCTAGTCTAGGTGTTTGTGTTGCTGCTCTAGGTGCTTGTATAGCCACTAGGACAGGTGACCCTCCGGCTGAGGCGTCCCTGTCCTTCACAATGGACTCTGGTGCGTCTCAGTGCTTCTTCCGCGACCACACGACCCTCACGCCACTCCTCACTCCTGTTTCGGTGGCTCTGGCTGATCCTACCTCAGGACCAGCCATTGCGCGTAGCTCCACTACCCTCTCGTGTCCTGTGGTCCCCTCTAGTGTCCTGCGCGGCCTCCACATCCCCTCGTTCACTCGGAACTTGGTGGGTGCTGGTTACCTCCAGGACAGGGGGATCATGGTTACCTTTGTGGGGGGTGGGAGGACTACGGTTTGTACAGACGCTGCCACAGGTGCTATTCTGGCCACGTTCACCAGGGAGTCCCGCTCTGGTCGCTACGTCCTCCACACCGAGCGCTCCCCGGTTGCGTCCTCCGCTCAGGTCGTTGCGTCCCCTCTAGTCCATGTGTCCAGTCCAGTTGCTGTGTCTAGCCAGGTGGTCATGTCTTGTCCAGTTGCAGTGTCTAGTCACGTCGCGCTGTCTAGTCCAGTCGCTGCGTCCTGCTCCTGTCAGTCCCTCACCCAACGGACCGTCTTGTAGCACCACCGCCTTGGCCACCCGTCGATCCCCCGCCTCCGCGGGATGACCACTCACGGGCTTGTCACCGGTCTCCCACACACCAATCCGTCGCTCCCCACCTCCCCTGCTCCCCCTTGCACTCCATGCGTCGCCGGTCGCTTATGCACCATTCCCCACTCCTACTCCCTTCGTCCGGCCACTGCTCCCTTAGAGACCCTCCACTTGTACGTCTGGGGCCCTGCCTCGACGAAGGGTTCTGGGAGGGAGCGTTACTTTCTGGTGGTCATCCACGACTTCTCCAGGTTCACCACAGTGTTCCCTCTCGCGAAGAAGTCCGAGGTGACCTCTACGCTGATCCGGTGGCTTCTGGCTACTGAGGGCACCCGTGATCGTCGTGTTAGTTGTCTACACTCCGACCGTGGGGGCGAGTTTTGCTCCGGCATTCTTGGCGGATTCTGCGGCGAACAGGGCATCATTTAGTCCTGGACGCTTCTTGAGTCCCCACAGCAGAATGGGTTGCTGAGCGCCGCATTGGCTTGGTCATGAACATTGCTCGCGCGTCCATGATCCATGCCCATGCGCCCCACTTTCTGTGGCCCTACGTGGTTTGCTACGCCGCACACCAGCTGAACCTCCAGCCGCGCGTCTCATGGCCCGAGGCTTCACCAACCAGTCTTGGGACCGGGTCCCCTGGTGTTGGGTCGGTCTTTCGTGTATGGGGCTGCCTTGCGCTTGTTCGCGACACCTCCGCGGACAAGCTCTTGGCACGCGTCGTCCCCTGTGTCTTCCTTGGTTTCCCGGTGGACTCTGCCGACTGGTCCTTTTACCACCCTCCCCTCCACTAGTTCCTAGACTCCCGTGACGTCCGGTTTGACGATTCCGTGTCCTACTACACCCGGTACCCCTGTCGAGGTCTCCCGGTACCCCCTCCCCCCTTTTTCCTCACACCCTCTCCTCATCCTGCTCTCGTTCCTCCGGTACCCCCGCCCCCCCTTGGTCCTGCCCTGTCTTGTGTGTCCCACTCTACCCCTCTACCCTCAGTCGCGCGTCAGGTAGCGTCTCCCTCCCCGCAGTCCTCCTCACAGTCCCCTCAGCAGCCTTCGGCACTTCCACGACAAGTTACTGTGGATCCGGGTGGTGTTGGAGCTGGAGGTGCAGCCGCTGGCGGTGCTCGGTTTGGGGGTGCTTGTTCGAGGGGTGCTGAAGTTGGAGGTGCTGGCGCAGGTGGCGCTAGCTCTGCGGGTGCAGGAGCTGAAGGTGCTGGTACTGGAGTTGCTAGTTCTGGGATTGCTGGAGTTGGAGTTCCTGCCACTGGAGATGCTGGTTCTGGGGGTGCCAGTGCTGGAGGCGCCGGCACTGGAGGTGCTGGTTTTGGGGGTGCTGGTGTTGGAGGCGCTATCACTGAAGGTGCTGATTCTGAGGAGATTGGAGCTGGAGACACTAGTTCTGCGGAGTCCACTTCGCCTCCCCACCGCCACGACATGCGTCTCCAGGCGGCCTGTCGGCGTGAGCGTGAGGAGCAGGTGCTGTTGGAGAGGGAGCGGCAGCAGTTGCGGCGGTTGGACCTGCTGGAGCAGCAGCAGCAGCAACAACAGCCGCCGCCGCAGCAGCAGCAGCAGCAACAGCCGCCGCCGCAGCAGCAGCAGCAGCCGCGGCAGCAGCAGACACCGCCGACGCAGCTGCGATCACAGCAGCTCTCTCTAGAGCAGCAGTTGTTCCCACCCGTGAGTGGCCTTTGGGCCCTTGGTCTTCCCTCCTCTCCTCCTGTTCACACTCTGTCCCCTCCAGCGTTTGGTCCCACGTTTCCTCCTCCTGGCGCCAGTCCGGCGGTCTGATCTTCTCCTCCACTGCAGTCTCCTCCACTTGTTGTCCCGCACTCTCGTATCCGTCCCTGTCCTCCGCGTGCTCTGCATTCGTCTCCCGTTCCCGACCTCCGCACTGCCCTCCTTTGTTCGTCTCTTCGTCGCCCTCCTCTTGAGTTCGTTCTCCCGTCTCCTCCTTCGTCCTCTCTCCCTTCCTCCCCTACTCCTGTCACTGACTACTACCGTGCCGGTTGTCTCTCATGTCCTCGCAACTCTTGTCACCGCCTCTTGTTTCCCTCCGTCGTCTGTCTCGGCTCTCACTGCCGCTGAAGCTGAATTTGCTGCTGCCACTCGCCTTGACTACACCACCCGTGTGGTGCCAGCTCCTCCCTCCCGTCCTCTGTCTGTCGGGGGTGAGTTTGCCCTTGGTTGTGATGTCCTAGAGGACAGAGAGTCTGAGCTAGAGTACTGGGCAACCGCTTCTCCCTCTGTCTGTGCCATGCTGCTATCCCCTGAGGGAGACCCCGACGCCCTTGACATGCCAACTCCTCGCACTTACCGCGAGGGAGTGTCAGGGGCGTGGGCCTCACAGTGGAAAGCGGCTATGGCCTCGGAGTTAGCGTCTTGGAGATCCACAGGCACCTACGTCGACGCAGTTCCCCCTCCTAGGGCGAACGTAGTGGATGGTGTGTGGCTCTTCAAGGTGAAGCGACCGCCTGGTTCATCGCCTGTGTTCAAGGCGCGCTACGTGGCTAGGGGCTTCAGTCAGTGTGAGGGAGTTAACTTCTTCCAGACCTTCGCCCCGACCCCAAAGATGACTAATCTTCGGGTGTTACTGCATGTAGCAGCACAGCGAGACTACGAGCTGCACTCCCTTGACTTCTTTACTGCGTTTCTCTAGGGCCGACTACACGAGAAGATCTGGCTGCGCCGCCCCCCTGGCTTCACTGACACCTTCCTACCTGGGACCCAATGAAGCCTGAGACGGCCAGTCTACGGTCTCTTCCAGTCGCCTCGTGAGTGGCACGACACTCTTCACTCCACGCTTCGTGACCTTGGGTTTTGTCCTTCCTCTGCCGACCCGTCGCTGTTTGTTCGCACTGGTTCCACTCCTTTATTTATACTAGTGTACGTCGACAACTTGGTCTTTGCCACAGCAGATAGAGCAGCTCTGGCTCAGGAGAAGTCTGAACTGTAGAAGAGACGCAAGTGCACTGACCTAGGTAAACTGCAGCGCTACCTTGGCCTGCAGATCACCAGTGACAGAGCCGCTCGCACCATCACACTGACTCAGTCACACATGGTGCAGCAGGTCCTTCGGCGGTTCGACTTCCAGTTCTCCACCACACAGCCCACACCTCTTGCTATTGACTCACTGGCCCCTTTCCGGACGAGCCGTTTGAGTCCACTAGTCCCTACGCAGTGCTAGTGGGCTGCCTCATGTACGTGATGACTTGTACTCGGCCGGACCTCGCCTTTCCCCTCAGCATACTTTCTCGCGTTGTTGCGACAAGGAGACACCGTCCTGTCCACTGGACAGCTGCTGTGAGGGTGGCAAAGTACTTGGCGACTACATCACGCATGGGGCTTGTGCTTGGAGGGACTCAGCAAGTGGCATTGACTAGTCACTACGACTCTTCCTACGCTGACGACGTGGAAACTCAGCGATCGACTCAGGGTTAATGCTTCAGTCTGGGAGCTGGTGCTATGTCGTGGAGGTCTACACGGCCGTCGTCTGTGGCTACTTCCAGTGCAGAGGCAGAGATCTACGCTGGTGCCATGGCGGCACAGGAGCTTTGCTGGTTGACCTTCTTGCTCGCCGACCTTGGTGAGAGGCCTCGCTCTGCACCGAACTTGTATACGTTGACAACAAGGCCATGATTCTCCTCTATCGAGAGCCTCGACTAGAGAGCAGAGTGAAGCATATTGACGTGAGATATTTCCTCCTGCGAGAGCTGCAGCGACGCGGCCAGGCACGCCTGGACTTTGTGGCCTCAGAGGCCAACACTGCAGACGTCTTCACCATGGCCCTAACGCTTGGTGATCACCACAGGTTCTGTGTGCAGTTGGGGCTTATTGAGGTAGGCCCTCGATTGTTGTAGACTTGTTGTGTTTTCCTATATATGTCCTAGTGAACTCTTGAACTGGCCTTGTGGCCATTGCTTGTGCTCGGAATTTGTGTGGTGTCATTCAGATCCACTCTGAGCTTGCTTTGATTCTTGTCTTGACTGGTCTTGTGATCGTTGGCCTGCCTTGCTTGTTTTGATGCCCCTCACTTAGCCTATGGGGGTGTGTCAAATGTTGATATTTGTGATAGGCTGTAGTGAGGTGCTCCTTAGTGAGTACAAACATGTTAGGGTTTCCTATTTGTACCCCAACTCCTTTCTAGTCATCATTCCGTTGTGTTTAGATTTTGAGACTGAAATGGTACAGCACTCAGGACTTTTGCCACCCTAAAATCCGTCGCACGGTGTTGGGTGAGATTTTTAACAATTTAGCGCGACAATGACATCGCAACCAAAACGGACGGTCCGATATGCCGTTCAGACGGTGTTATCAGGGTAGTATGGACCATTTCTTGGCAGAAAAAGTGTCAGGCATGGTCCGGACGGTGGCGATGTCGCACGGGGTCTCACAAAGCGCTTAAAGAGAGGTTGAAAAAAATAGTTACCATACAAAAGTCCGGACGATGGATTGTGAAAAAGTTGGACACCCTAAGGAATAATAAACACTCACCGTAGCACTTTCTAACGGTGACGCTTCCGAGCTGGCCCATATATTCGTGTTGAGGCACACTGATCGATCAAAGTGCACCCCTGTTGAAACTCTGTGAGTCAGTGTGAGCCCAAGTTTTTGGGCTGAAATTTCAGACCGCACAATATTTTTTAGGCTGAACTTTCAGTGTTACATGTAAGATTGAAGCAGATTCATTTAGACATTTATCTCACACATATGGGTCATAGTCCGAAGTAGGGGGAGCTTCTACAGGAGCACGCTTAACTACACCATCCACCTCTACAGCCTCCTTCCCAGCCCTTGGGTGCTCCCAATGTCTTGCAGCAGGTGCAGTGACAGGGCGGCGCTTCTTGTAGCTGCACCAAATCTCTACTACCCCCGGCAAATCTACCTCGTAGTCCAGCAATGACATGCACAACAGATCACTGAGCCTACACTTCTTAATACTGCCTCTCTGCCACGTCTTGATGAGGTTCTGTCGAGAAAATCCTCTCTCACAGTCAACAGTGCTGAGAGGCAAGACTGCAATTGCCACCCAGAGGTTTACAATGTTGGGGTACGACTGCTGCCAGTCGGGATTCTTGAGGATGGCAGTCAATCCCGCGTGGAACTTCGGCTCAATCTTAGGAGGTTTGGCTAAGTTCGGGCACAGAGTCCTCAGCTCCTTCAGAACCCGTTTTTTGTCAATGCCTGCGATGAGGAGCGGATTAGTGCAACACGAGATTGCAATTGTTGGACATGCTACCAATCACAAAGAAAAAAATAACCTGGTAGAATTTCGGGCGAGTCGTCGGCGTGAAACAGAGTGGCTAGCGACAGCAGCCACTCCTTGCACTGATCCTGCTGTGCGTGCCACTCCCAGTTCGGTGGCCACAGGTCCGGGATGAAGAGCCGCACTCCAGCCAGCAAATCGAGGTCACCGAGCTTTGACTGGAGGTTTTTGACGAGGAGCTTGGCCATGTCGGTGCAGAGCGCGACGTAAGCCTCATGATGGCCGAGCCCACGGTAATTCTTGTTCGTGCGTTCGTGGAGGGTGAAAGTGAAGAGGTTCAAGTTGCCGTCCGACGAGGCCCCTTCCACCACCATTAGCGGCGACCCCTTTGGTCCATGCTTGGCGATGAACCAGTAGAGCCGCTCGTCGGGGCTGCCGCCAAAATCGTCTCCACAGTCGATGTACCGGCTCTCTAGGAGAGAGGTTGTGCACAGGATCTGCGCGTGCACAAGGGGGTAGTCGAGCTGCCACACACAAATCACAGCGGTAGTTAATACCAGTATATTTAATAACAACAAACATTAAAATGAATTAACCGTCACTTACCTCCCGATGCTGGAAAACCTTGGAGAGGACGTTCAGCAGCTCCAGAACGTCCGCAAGGAACCTGAGAAGGATCTGGAAGCGATACGACATGACGAGCTCGTAAATGGTCTGGTCCTTCCACTCGGACAGCATCACGATGATGGCGGGCAAGACTTCGACGAACCGCGCAATGGCAGCACCCCTCGCCATCGTATGTCATCTATGGCTTGCATCTCGAGGTTTATGGCTGTGAAGACCTCCTCCAGCTCCATGAAACGCTGATGCTGTCAGATATACATGACATAATGTCTGTAGGCTCTAGTGGGGTAGACACTAAGGGGTACAGGTTTCTAGGGTTTCATATTTGTATCACACACTTTCCTAGTTCATTCATTCCTCATTCTTTCACATGGTATAGAGCAGGTTCCCTAATGGGAACGTTTCCTAGGGCCCACCACTAAAACAATTTTTTTTTTTACCTGCCCGGAGCGCGCTTCGCCCCTGCCCTAGTCGCGCCCCGTATGCCTGCCCTCCCGTCGCGTCCCCTGCCCTTAGCGGCCCGTCGCGCCCTCTTAAGGCCCCGTCGCGGCCCCTCTCACGGCCCTTCGTGGCCCCTTTGCGGCTCCCTCGCGGCCCCTCCGCGGCCCCTCGCGGCCCCTCTCAAGGCCCTTCGCGGCCCCTCGCGGCCCCTCGTGGCCCCTTCACTGCTCTTCGCGGCCCCTCGCGGCCCCTTCGCGGCCCCTCGCGGCCCCTTTTCGGCCCCGTCGCCGCCCTTCGCGGCCCCTCGCGGCCCCTTCTCGGCCCCGTCGCCGCCCTTCGCGGCCCCTTCACGGCCCTTCGTGGCCCCTTCTCGGCCCCTTCGCCGTCCTTAGCGGCCCCTTTGCGGCTCCTCCGCAGCCCTTCGCGGCTCCTTCACGGCCCCTCCGCGGCTCCTTCGCGGCTCGTCGCGGCCCCTTCACGGCCCCTCCCCGGCTCTTCACGGCCCTGCCGCCCCGCCGTCGCCGCCCCAGCAGCAGCTGCCGTTGCGCCGTGACAGCCGCCGCCGCCGCTGCCGGGGCCGCAGCCGCCGCCGACAACAGCAGCCGCCGCCGCTGCCGTGACAGCCGCTGCCGCCGCCGCCGACAGCACCAGCCGCCGCCGCCGCTGCCGTGACATCCGCCGCCACCGTCCCGGCCCTGCCCTGCAGCCGAGGCGCGGCCCTCCTCTGCCGCCCTGTCGCGGCCCTGTCCCTGCTGGCGCGCCTCAGCCCTGCCCCACCACTTGCGGACCTCTACCCGCCCGCCCTGGTAAGAGCACTGCCGAGCTGTGCTTCTCCTACTGAGCTGCTCCTAGCCTGCTGTTGCCACTGCTAGCCTGCTGCTGCTGCTGTCATGGCCACCCCTAGTGTTCTCACCTTTGATGCTGAGGGTCGGGCTGTCGACTTTGAGGTCTGGGTCGATGATCTGCAGCTTTTCCTTCAGTGCGATAGAAAAGATGGTCTCTCACTGTTTGATCTCACGTCTGGCACCTCTGCTGCCCCTACTGCTGATGCTGACAGCACTGTTCGCTCACAGTGGGCCACACGCGATGCTGCTGCCCGTCTTGCTGTGCGTAGTCACTTGCCGTCCACTGAGCGCGCGCACTTTAGTCAGTACAAGAGTGCTAAGACCTTGTACGACGCTGTAGTTGCACGCTACTCTTCCCCTGCCACTGCTGCCCTTAGTCGCCTCATGCTGCCGTACCTGTTCCCTGACCTCGCCGCCTTTCCCACAGTCACTGACCTCATTACGCACCTTCCCACTAGTGACACCCGCTACCGCGCTGCGCTTCCTGCTGAGTTCTGTGCCAAGAACCCCCCCCCCCCCACCCCCCCCCCCCCCATGTACATCACCCTCTACTACGTAGTCACCCGGCTCCCTGACTCCCTTCACTCGGCCAGGGACCACTTCCTCTCAGTTTGCCCCACCACACTCACCGTTGACCTCCTCAAGGAGCGCCTCCTGGCAGCTGAGAAGAGTATAGTCGCTGTAGGAGCCTCTCGTGGTGACCCTCGTACCCCCTTCTTTGAGGTGTGCTCCCCCTCCCCCCTTTTGCCCTCTGTTGCCTCTACTGCTGCGGTTGACCTCGTTGGCAACGAGTCGGTCGGCGCTGCGTCTGCCCCTAGCGTGAGACGCCGCAACGGCAGGGGCAAGGGGGGCAAGGGCGCTGGAGGGGATGGCGGGGGCGGTGGAGGTGGCGGTGGAGGAGGCACCATGTGTGACAGAGTTAGGGTAATGGTGCGGCGTGCTCTGTCCCGGGTGATCTGCAAGCCAAGGTAGCTGCGCAGTTCACCCAGGTCTGTGCACGTGTGTCTCTTCTGCAGCTCGGACTTCACGTGGGCGAGTCCAGCAGTGTCAACAGTGGCAAAGACCAAGTCGTCGAAATACACGAGGATGTAGAGCGGCGGCAAAGAGGTGTCGTTGCGCAGAAACAGCGACGGGTCGGCAGTAGAAGGAGCAAACCCAAGAGCCGCAAGTGTAGTCCTCAGTGTGTCGTGCCACTCACGGGGCGCCTGGCGGAGACCGTAGACTGGCCGCCGGAGGCTCCAATGGGTGCCAGGGGGAAAAGACCCAGTGAAGCCAAGTGGGCGACGCAGCCAGATCTCCTCGTGCAGGCTGCCCTGCAAGAAAGAAGTGCTGAAGTCAAGAGAGTGCAGCTCGTAGTCGCGGTGAGCAGCTATGTGCAGCAGTACCCGAAGAGTGGTCATCTTCGGGGTGGGAGAAGAGGTCTGAAAGTAGTCAACTCCCTGCCGCTGAATGAAGCCACGAGCCACGTAACGCGCCTTGAAGATAGGCGAAGAACCCGGCGGCCGCTTCACCCAGAAAATCCACATGCCACTGACGATGTTCGCCCTAGGCGGGGGAACCTCGTCAAGGTAGGTGCCTGTGGACTTCCAGGAAGCCATCTCTGCGTCCATAGCTACCTGCCACTGAGAGGAGTAGGGACCCTCTATCGCCTCCGCGTAAGAGCGCGGAGTCGGGATGTCAAGTGCATCTGGGTCTCCCTCAGGGGTAAGCAGTACAGACACGAGATGAGGTGAAGCAGCAGCCAGACACTGGAACTCCTCCTGCCTGTCCTCAAGGACGTCCGTGCCAAGGGCACACTCACCCCCGACGGACGGAGGACTCACAGACTCAGCGAAAATAGTAGCAGCGTAGTCGAGACGACAGCGAGCAGCAAAGTCGACGAGCTCAGCAACTAGGGCAGACGCAGCAGTGGACTCAAAGGAAGGGTCACTGACGACAGTAGCAAGGAGACGCGTGACAGTAGGACTGGCAGCACGAAGAGTGTCCGACTCCGGGTCGGGAAGAGCAGGAAGAGAGGACTCAGGAGAAGAAGGCAAAGGGGCATGTAGAGGAGCACTGGACGGACGCAGAGACATCCGGTGCGTGCCAGGGACAGGAGGAGGACGCTGACGCGAACCACGACCACTAGTGCGAGTAGCATGAACAGGCGACGCAGGGCGAGACGCAGGCTCACGACGCTCAGCAAGACCTCTAGTAGGACCAGTGTAGGGAGAAGGAGCAGGCAGTGAGGAGGCCGACTGGAACTGTAACTGTGACGGGACAGGCTGTGGACACTCTAAGGGAGGAGGAGGACCAGTAGAAGGCGGGAGACCAAGAACCTGCTGAAGGAGTGGAACGAAGTACGGCCGAGGCCGAGCGGCGACTTCAGACACTGCAGGGACAGCACCAGCACCCCCAGCGGCAGCACCAGCGACAGGAGCACCTCAAGCTCCAGTACCTCCAGCAGCACCAGTAGTACCCCCAGCAGGACCGCCTCCAGGACCGACAGCAGTAGCCTCAGCGCCAACACCCTCAGCAGCTCCAGCTCCAGTCGTACCCGCAGGCCCAGCAACTCCAGTACTCCCAGTACGAGCACCTCCAGGACCCGCGGCACCAGCACCCTAAGCAGCCGAAGAACCTCCAATTCCAGCAGCACGCCTCCAGCGCCGGGCAAACCACTCGCGCAGCTCCTGTGGAGAGAGGGGCTCCCATCGAGACGAAGCACCCGGAGAACCTCCAGGCCCAGCACCCCCAGGCTTAGCACCCCCATGCTCAGCACCCCCAGTCGCAGCACCCCCAGGCTCAGCACCCCCAGTAGTAGCACCCGCAGGCTCAGCACCCCCTGGCGTAGCACCCACACGCTCAGCACCCCCAGAGTCAGCACCCCCAGGCTCAGCACCCTCAGCAGCACCAGACTGTGGTGTAACGCGAGAGGTCATCAACCACCAACAGGAAGTAGCGCTCGTGACCCTGTCCACGGACGCGGGCCGGGCCCCACACGTCCATGTGAAGCGTCTGCAGCGCGGCCTCTGTCGGAGGAAACTGGGAGGAGTGAGGGGCAGCCCGCTGCCGCCCCTCGACACAGGGGACGCAGGTAGGGCCAGGCCAAGGAGGAAAGGGAGGGAGGGACCGGGGAAGACCGGAGACAAGGACACGGGAGGCCATTCCTCGGAGACGAAGCAGGGAGGGGTGACCAAGGAGGTGGTGCCAGAGGAGAGTCTCGTGAGACAGGAGGCGACACGAGCAGGGGGCAGACTCAGGACCAGACCTGGACGCTGCAGCAAACACGTGACCCGACGCAGCTACCTGACCAGATGCAGTGACTGGAGGAGACGCAGTGGTCAGTGTGTACAGGCTCGACCCCGGCCGACGTGTAAACGTGGCCAGGTGTCGGCCTGTCCGAGCGTCCGTGCAGTGGGTCACCAGCTGACTCGCAGGAGTGAACTGGTGAACCCCCGCATCCTGTAGGTCAGCACCACTCACCAAGTTTGTAGAGAACGAGGGGAGGTAAAGACCAGACAGGGTGCCAGAGGGGGCCACCGGACACGGGAGGAGAGTGGAGTAGTGAGCAAGGACAGGACCCCTAGAGGGGTCTGCCAGAGAGACTGCAACTGGCCGGCCAAGCGGCGTGAGTGTGGTGCGGTCTCGAAAGAAGGAGCGAGAAGCCTCCGAGTCAAGGGTGAAGGTGTGGGAGGCCGAAGCCGACGCTGTACCTGAGAGAGCAGACTCACCAGCACCTGAGAGAGCAGACGCACGAGCACCAAGAGCAGCAGCCTCGCTAGCACCTAGAGCAGCAGCCTCACCAGTACCTAGAGCAGCAGTCTCAATGCATGGGTCGGGCGGAAAACATCGGTAACAGTCACCCTCATCACTAATAGTCAGAGCATACATGGCAGCAAGAATAGCATCAAAGTCAAGGTCAACGACAGCTACTCCCGCCCTAGAAAGCTCGCCCCAGCGGGGGATCTCAGTGGCCTCCGGGAATTGGTGACGCCAAGCGTCCGTCAGGCGGCCAAAGCAGCGCTGGGTGGAGTGCGTACCCCCGCACTGCTCATCTGCGCGGTCGCCGGTGCGTAGGAGTAGGTGCACGGACCAGTACCCCCACCCCGCTGGCGTGCAGCGTACCACTCACGGAGCTGCTGAGGGGGGGGGGATGTCACGAGTGCGCTGCTGCTGCTGCTGCTGCTGCTGCTGGTGCTGACCACCACCGGAGCCGACCCTCTGCGCAGCGCCACCCCTACCAGCTCCACCTCCACCGCCACCGCCTCCTCCACCGCCGCCACCTCCGCCACCTCCGCTCCCACCGCCACCGCCGCCGGCGCCTCCGCCTCCACTGCCGCCACCGACACCTCCACCCCCGCCACCACCCCCACCGCCACCCCCACCCCCTCCACCGCCTCCACCGCCACCTCCACCGCCCCCGCTAGCTCCTCCAGCGCCCCTGCCCCCCTTGCCCTTGCCAGGGCGGCGTCTCCCGCTAGGGGGTGACGCCGCACCGACCGACTCAAGCCCAACGAGGTTGGCCGCAGCAGTAGAGGCAACAGAGGGCAAAAGGGGGGAGGGGGAACACCCCTCAAAGATGGGGGTGCGAGGGTCACCACGAGAGGCTCCTATAGTTAATTTGCTCTTCTCTGCTGCTAGGAGGGCCTTCTCGAGGAGGTCAACGGTGAGAGTGGTGGGGCAAACTGAGAGGAAGTGGTCCCTGACTACGCGAAGGGAGTCAGGGAGCCGGGTGACTATGTAGTAGAGGGTGATGTACATGGGGGGGGGGGTTCTTGGCGCAGAACTTAGAAGGAAGCGCAGCGTGGTAGCGAGTGTCACTAGTGCGGAGGTGCGTAATGAGGTCCGCGACTGTGGGAAAGGCAGCAAGGTCAGGGAGGAGGTACGGTAGCATGAGGCGGCTCAGTGCTGTAGTGGCAGGGGAGGAGTAGGGTGCAACTACAGCGTCGTACAAGGTCTGAGCACTCTTGTACTGACTAAAGTGCGCACGCTCAGAGGTAGGAAGGTGGTGACGCACAGCAAGACGTGCAGCAGCATCGCGTGTGGCTCACTGTGAGCGAACAGTGGCGTCGGCATCAGCAGCAGGGGCAGGAGAGGCACCAGAAGTGAGGTCAAAGAGGGAGAGACCGTCTGCCCTATCGCATTGTAGGAAAAGCTGCAGGTCATCTACCCAGACGTCAAAGTCAACGGCCCGACCCTCAGCGTCAAAAGCGAGGACACCAGGGGTAGCCATGACAGCAGTAGACTAGCAGCGCGAACAGTAGGGTAAGGGTAGTGCAGTGACAGAGGCGGTGCTCTTACCGGACAGAGCGGCTCGAGCGGCTCGGCGGCTCGGCAACAGGGCGGCTCGGTGGCTCAGCGACGGGGCGGCTCGGGCGGCTCGGCTGCTCTGCGGCTCGGCTGCTGGGCGGCTAGGCTGCTAAGGAAGGCGGGGCCGCGAAGGGTGGCGGGGCCGCTGAAGTGAGCGGCGACGGGGCCACAGAGGAGGCGGCGGGAGGGCCGCTGAAGGGGCGGCGTCGAGGCCGTTGCAGGGGTGGCGACGCGGCCGCTGAAGAAGGCGGCGGGGCCGCTGAAAGGGCGGCGACGGGCCGTAAGGGGAGGGCGACGACAGGGCCGCTGTAAGGGCGGTGACGGGCCGTAAGGGGAGGGCGGCGACGGGGCCGCTGCAAGGGCAGCGACGAGGCTGCTGTAAGGCGACGGGGCCGCAGGTGAAAGGGCGGCGACGGGCCACAGGGGGAGGGCGGCGACGGGCCGCTGAGGGTGGTACGACGGGGCCGCAAAAGGGGCGGCGCGACGGGGCCACGAAGGGGCGGCGCGATGCGGCCGCGAAGGGCGGCGTGACGCAACCGCTAAGGGCGGCGCGACGGGCCGCTAAGGGCGATGCGACGGGGCCGCTAGGGAAGGCGCGACCCTAAGCGCGCTTTGGGCAGGGGCGGGACACGCCCCGGGCAGGAAAAAAAAAGTCGGTGGGCCCTAGGAACAGTTCCCACTAC